TACACTTTTACCTCGGCTTGTGCTCGAAGGCGCCGAAGCTGTAGACTGTTGTGCATCTACACCATGTCTACCTGCATACTCATCATATAATATTTAAAAATAATTTCTAATAGCTAAATGATGAGAAGTAGCAGTAAGGATGAATCCATCATCTAAGTCTATAATCGGTCAACCATATAATGATTGAAACAAACTTTGAATGCCAATATCCTTCAAACATTGATCAATAAGAATCCCCAAACCAAAAATATGAGGAATAGGCCTAAAATACTTATTAAATTTGCTTTCCATTTAAAAAATTATAGATCCAAAAGTGTCATCCATACGATATTTTGAAAAAAAACTTTTGAATATTTAAAATTTGTAAAGTAGCTAAAGTAATTGTTGGATAATAACAGCCAGATAATAACATTGTAGCATCATAAAAGACTTTTAACATCTCATTTAAATTATATATAATTATTCATTCATCTTCAGTTATTCCATAACTACTAACAGAACTAGAACTAGAAGCATAAAAATTAATAAAATCATTTATAATTTCCTTATATTCTATTGCTACACTTAACATTGTATAGGTGGAATTCCACCTATGGTCAACATCTTTTGGAATTAGTCTGGGCTTATAATTTTTTTTTTTACAACATTGTTTCCATCTTTTAATTCTCATTTCAGAAGCATTATGCATATTAGCAACAATTCTAACCTTTTCTATCATGGGTTTAATTTCAGAAAATACACTGAACAATTAAATTTAAAATATGATAGATACATCTAATATGAAAAAGTTCACCATGAAATGGCAATGACAAAGTTGTTTTGATAAAATCAACAACTACATTATTATTACTTGCATTATCTAGGGAAAGAGAAAATATTCTTTGATCAATTTCTAGTTTCATAAGTTCTTCAATTATTAAATTTGTAACATTATTACCAGTATGTGACTCTTTAATTATAATAAAAGAAACAACTCTTTTAAACATTTGCCAATTTCCATCGATCGAGTGTGCTGTGATACATAAATAACCAGTTTGCACTCTAGATGTCCAAATATCAAAAGTTAAAAAAATTTACAGTTTAAAATTTTAAAATAAGAAATTATTTTTCCTTATTCCTTCTGATAATATTTTAAAATATCACGTTGACAGATTTGACGAGAAAATTTGGTAAATGCAGGATAAAAACCATCTCTAAACAAATCTTTAAATTCATCACATTCTACTAATCTAAAAGGAAGGTTTTTAAGAACGATAAACCTGATTACACATTTCCTGGCTCGGGCAGCGTCATAACTCCAACTACCGAGACTATCAGAGGAGGATGATTGAGAAATCATAGATTGTCGGATATCACCTTGAAGATTCCGACCTTTGTTGTGTTTTTCAATATGACGTTTGAGGTGGTTGGTGCCGTTCTTATGATGAGCTTGGAAAACCTGGCCGCACAACGCACATTTAGCCTTCTGGGTGATGATCCTACCGTGTTCATCATTGGTGACGTTTATCTTCTCAAAAAAATTCCACACATCAGATCTCGGCCTTTTTGGAGCTCTTGGTGCAGATTCGTCGCCACCAGATTTAGGATTAACATCAGTAGGAAAAATAGCTATTGTAGGAGGACTCATTTCTGGATTAGTAGGAGATAAATTTTGCTCTTCATATTCATATCCAGAAGCCATTTGATAGAAGTATTAGAAAATATAAGAGATTATAAGAGAGTATAATATTGTATAAGAGAGAAGTATAAGAGTTTTGGTGTGAGGAGAAGAAGTAAAAACCCTCCTCTATTTATAAAGGCAGTCTCCTAGGCAAATGATCAAAAAACCCTCATATTTTGACCGTTTTTTTACCGTTGTTGGGGGAAAAACGATCAAAACCCCAATATGACCGTTATGGCCGGGCCGGGCCAGGTAGCCGCCAAAAGGTATTTGGCCGGCCAAATAGCAGGTACCTTTAGGTGACCGTTGGGGTACGGGTCGGCGATGGCCGTTTCCGACAACGTCAAACTCTGGTGACCGTTTCATCCGGGTCGATCCCGGCGTGGCGGCTCGGCCCGGTTGTCCGCGGCGCGGCACTGTTCCGGGCGGCCGGGTCTGGACCGCGTTTCTAAAAACGACCCAGGCTCGGCGACGCCGGTCTTGGCCGGCACCGAACCAGGCAGGCGGGGTTACGGCGACCGGGCCCGAACCGCGGGCTTTTTGGACAGCCCTACCTGAAATGGATCACATCGAATTTGCAACTTGTCGCCCCCATCATTCATTCGTTCATTAAAGAAAGTGTATTAACAGTAGCCTCAAATTGATCAACGTGGGCGACCCAGCTCCCATAGCCGCCCCTGACATCATCTATCTTTAACTAACCATAATCCCATTTATTAGTAATATAGAAAGAAAAAAAAATCCTTATAAGACCTGAGAACCCACACAGCACTTTCATTCATACACTAACCAAGCAAGTATTATTCTCAGTACTCAAACTCGAACATGGAAGACGTTTCCCTCTACATCCAAAGCCAACACATACCACCACCAACCACCACCTAATCCCAGCATCTCTCTCACCGTCGCAAGCCAACCAGCCGAAACCGTGGAGCGCCGAGCCACCTCCACCGAAGATTTACCATGTTCACCCCCGAGGCTTTCGCAAACTTGTCCAGAAGCTAACCGGCGTCCCAAGGAGACAAGTGAGGCCTAGTGTTGTTTCAAATCCTCGGCCTCTAAGGGACACACTGAGACCACCTCCACCCCTGGATTTGGCACCTCGACCTCTGCCGCCTCCGATTTTGCCTCCTTCGAGTAGCTTGGCTGAGGATTTGGCGCCTCGACCTCTGCCGCCTCCGACCTCGCCTCCTTCGAGTAGTTTGGCTGACAGGAGTTCGATGGGGATGATACTGTCGCCTTCGCTGTGCTCACCGTACGCGAGGTGGTGCTCGTTTCCGCTCCTGAGTCCAGGGACCATGGCTTCTCTGGAGCGTGGCAGTAGTCCTATCCTCTGAGCAGCCAAACTCCATCCCATATGAGTAACCCTCTAGGGTAAAAGAACTTAATGATGTATCATCTGTTTGTGCTGGTTTGTTTATTAATGTTTGAGTTCATTGTAGATAAGGGAGAATAAAGATAATATGTTGTGGAGTTCTATGACTTTGTTAGATGTATTCTTCACATATTTCCATAGAATAAGGTAGCAAATTGATTCATATCATTCTTCACAATGATATATATGTCATAAATTGACAAATTTCACTTTGGTACCCCCACAGTTTACCCAATTTATCACTTTGATACCCTAGAATATTTATTTTAACACTATGATACATCAAAGTATCTTTTCTAACACTTAGGTACCCAAAGTTTCAATCAACATTTCACTTTGATACCCTTGTCTATATCCAGTAGATTTTCTCTTAAAATTGTACCGCGTGCTTAGCAACTTGGTAAAATGGATCCAAATGTATTGCACGCTAAGGTTGCGACTTAAATTTAACAAAAAATCTAACGGAATTTGAACCGGGTATCAAACTGAAATGTGATCAAAACTTTGAGTGTAAAAGCGTAACGAAATACTTTGGGTTATCAACAGTACAGCGCGATTGAAAGCTCAGGGTATCAAAGTGGTAAAGTGGGTAAACTGTAGGGTACCAAACTGAAATTAATCCTATATAAATCTAGAAAGGCGTATGAGAAAGTTCTGAAACTCAATTGGATGGTTTCACAACAAAAGTAGATGAGCAGCTTGCGTTAGGCCCATAATCTGATTTCCAATCGTCTGGAACGTGATTTTGATCAATGGCTTCACAATAAAAGAATATTATAGTGAACAGTACGAGTCAATAATTTGGCTGGCTTACCATAAGTTTTTTTTTCGCATATAATAATATTCTAAAACAAACAAAGTGCCTACTACGTAACGCAAGTAATGTGGAATTTGGCAATTTGTCAACTCTCTTAGCTGTGGTGGAGAAAGCAGCTTGGGCTTTTCCAATATAACCACGCTCTATAAGTTTTATTAGCAACATTTGACGCAACTCTGTTCCCTAGAGACCTCTAGTTTCCTTGCCAAAAGTAGAAACATTCTAACAAAGAAGCAGATGAACCACAGTCAAATATTCTGCACGAAAATGGTTTGACTCTCTGGTACGATTTACTTCAAATGTGACGTTGATGCTGGCATTCAACTACTTAATACAAGCCTTTGGAATTAACCAAATATAACTATATATATTTATAAACCCATCATGAGCACAAGACCATTACCGTACACATAGAATTCTCTCGAAGCTATCCCCCATGATCAGTGACCAGATTCTTTGCCTTCAGGCCTAAACTCAGGGGGCGAAGGATTGAAGTAGATCGTGCATATTTTCTAGGTTTAGTTCTAGGTGACGGTATTATTTTGTTCAGAGAGAAGCTATGAACTCAGAAGATGATGCCATCTTGAAGAAGCAAGGAATGAAGGAAGAAAGAAGAAAGAATCAAAATAATTTACCGGACCCAGTAAATACAGCCACCTTTCTGCTGACACCACAGAAAGAAAACATCTCCGAAACAAATAAGAACGGCAGCATACCAGTGAATCAAACACAAATCTTCTTCAATGAGAACAAAGACTAGGCATATGCATCAATAATTTTTACACAACTTGCAACAGTTAAGCCAAAACTCCGTAACTTTGATGCTAACTAAATACATGGGAGCTTATCCATCAAAGTTCCAAGAACAACATGTTAGCCAAAACTCACAGAGCTTGTTACCGGTTTTATTTTTAGTGTTAAAGCGTGTGTGTGTGTGCTTTTTTTTTCTGTTAATAAAATTCATACTCCTAAGTAAGAAAGGTTGGTTTCTCAGAGGGGACACCATAGGGTCAACAAAAAAGGGTCGCCAGTTCAGGGCATCGTGATGCAAAAAAGAGGAACTTTCTCCCTGAATAGGGAAAGGTGGTGAAATTTCCAATATTTACCTTAAATGGAGAGAAACAAAAGTACTACTAAAACACAGTGCATATTCACAGTAATCAAATGTGCAAAGCTTAAGTACCTAAATCAGAAAATGATATATACTACACACACTTAAATTATTAAAGTAAAAAAAATGACCTCCGTTTTTACTATGGAATTTTCTAAACCAGAAGCATTTCACTCGATGATTACATTTCATATTCACACCAAAATTTACGATAAATTTTGATCACAGTGATCCCACTTTCTCAACTAGAAAATGCTCACCTAGTTATCCCAGTAGTTCCTTAGCTGCGACATATGAAGGAGGAGCTCATCCCGACCTAAGCCAGTGACACAGCTGGTCATGATCCATGGTGGGGGTTCTTGGTAGTATTTGCTGATCAATTCCTGAAACTGCTTAATATTCTCATCTTTTCGGCTCCCTTTACCACCTTTCACTTTGTCACACTTGGTAAAGACAAAGGTTACAGCAATCTGAAAACATCATATGAATGTGGAAATGGAATATTAGAGAAGGAGCCAAACCCAAGTTTCCATAAAGAAAAGGGTAATTGTGAAGAGATCCTCTTTATTTAGTATCATCTTTGTTTTGAACTTACTACCTCCTCTAGTTTTGTTGCTGCAGACAAACCTCACGGGTAAAATTTTTGGACTCTTTTACCCTCAGGAGTCTATTTGTCACCAAAAAAAAGATAAAAAAATTGAAAGGGGGGGGGGGGGGGG